AGGGTAAACAAACGGCGGTTTTTCATAAGCATTTTATCGATAACATTTTCCACAGTTGGCATTAAGAAGGAACATAGAAACACTATCTCACTAACATCTAGCAGCTAAATGTATCTGAAAAAATATTCAAAGGCTTTTATTTTCATAAACAGCGTGGGTGTAAACGCGTTTTAATTGTTCTGGAGTAAACATCTCACGTCAGTGTGTTGTAATCGTGAACGCGCTCCTTACAGCAATTTTGCTTCTGCGTTCACACAGAGCAGCATTCCTGTGTTACGGTGCACCCCTGCCATGAATTCATATTTATTGAAAATGTCCAACAAGTCTGATAAGTGATTTAGAAGAAATAAATAAAGATATTCATAATGTCTTATAAAACAAATAGCACTATTTGTTTGTCTATTTGTATGTTTGTGTGTTGTTTTTGTTAAGTTTTGCTGTCATACCATAGGACATTTTATTGTACAGTTTAAAATAAAATAAAATAAAATAAAATAAAATAAAATAAAATAAAATAAAATAAAATAAAAAAGTGAAATTACTTATAAAGTTAGTGACCCCTTCTTAAACATCAGACTTCAAACTCCAAAAGAAATAAAAACTTGCTGTTGCTTCACAGCATAAAGGTTGCTGGTTCGAGTCTCGGCTGGATCAGTTGGCATTTCTGTGTGTGCATTTCTCAGCATGTTCTCCCCGTGGGTTTCCTCTGGTTTCCTCCACAAGTCCAAAGACAAGTGCTATAAGTGAATTAGTGTGTGTAAGTCCTGGTCCTTTGGGTTGAGTGTTACAAATCACCTTGTAAAAAAATTTGATGTTACAAAACATTATCATTCATTCCTTTTCTTTTCGACATAGTCCCTTTGTTAATCTGTAGTCGCCACAGCGTAATAAACCGCCAACTAATCCAGTATATATTTTACGCAGCAAATGCCCTTCCAGCCGCAACACTGGAAGAAACACTAACATGGTATGGCTAAATATCAACTTTGATATAAATTGGAGTAAGTAAAGAAATATTGTCACTCATAGTTTTTAGACACACAAACAACATACAAACTATAAGCAAATATAGATTAAATGCCAGGCTCATCAGTTTGTGGAAATGAGCTAAGTTTCCTACAGATTTCTGTGGACACAGATTTTGTTTGGTCCTCCATATACCAAAAGCTCCTGAAGAGTTCAGCAAGAAAAATGGACCCCGACTATGGTGGTCACGCTCGACCATGTTAAATCACCCTAAGAGTATCATTTCCATGGTTTAGAATAGTTCAAAGGCATGTGTGAATCTACAGAGCTTGTCAGAGATCAGAGATACAGAGGCCCCAATACGCCTCAGGTGACTCCAGTGAGGATCCGCAAGAAGGCATCAATTAAAAAAAGTGTTCATCCATCAAAGAAACTAATCTCAAACTCAGCCAACACTTCATTGTACCAGTGCTTCCATACCACTGCTTCCACATAAAAGAAGGCATTAAGGTGTGGTGTGGGACTTCCATACCATTGACAACGCATAATGAGGGATTTGGAGGTGTGCTAGCTCACAATGCAAAGCTAATTGTTCAGCAGCTCTTATCGTGAATGCTATGCCGCAGTGCCTTTGCTTTGATGAGCTAAAATGACGGAAGGGAACAGAATAGCACAACAAAATAAAAGCAAATAAAAAGATAGCACCCTGCTTATCCGGCTTTACGATTTACTGCTTGTTTACAAATTGTACTGTTTTTAAACTCTGTGAACAAGGCCGTTTGTAATTCCAGTCCTGTTTCAGTTTTATAAAATGAAGAAAAAAAGCTTGTTGCTTCAAAAGCAGAGCATAAAAAGACAAATCAAAATGCAACCTGCCATATTTTTTTCTTTTTCCGAAGCAATAAATGGAGCTGGCCCACAGGCTATGTCTATATGAGCCATGGCCACCCTTATGTCCAAGTAGGTTTCATATATTAAATAGTGTCCCCCGGTCATCAATTCCTTTTGTTTCCCATGAGGCATTGCTCTGCAATCTTTGTCATGTCCCTCAGAGAGTCAAAAAAAAAAAAAAGTACGCTGCTCTCACCCCATGGCCAAGGCAATCGTAAACAGATCATATTCTTTTCAAACACACTGCTGTCTAAATAAATATATGTTCTTGGTGTATGCAACACCTTTGTTCCAATGGATATGGAAAAGATGTTCTAAGCGATATGAAAAAAACGACTGCACATTCTGTTTTCTTTGTGTACCAAGACACAGAAAGATAGGAATCTTGACGAAATGAAAGACGTTTATCTCCAGCAAGCTCTGTTGCTGTCTAAAAATTGTGGATAAACCAATGTACCAAGATAGCCGGGGGGGAAATGTAGATCTACAGTCTGAACCTGTCTAATATGCATGAAGATTGGATAAACAATCAGACTCACTAGGCTGGGCACTACAAGCCCAAACACTTTCAATTCCGGCACTGGACTTCTTTTTTTTTAGAAAATTGAGTATAATGGCGGCAAACATGCCTGGCCACATCTAGCAACAAGACATTAGGAATTGCTGTGATTATCAGCAATTAAATGTGACTAAGTTGCACACACGCACACTAAAAATACATGTCGGCTACTTTTATGTGCCCTTCAAACATACTTTGTCAAGTTTTACATGCTTCAGGTCAACAGTAGCTAACAAAAAGACTGCCAACATTTAACATCAAAGTATATACTTTTTTCCATTAGTATTTGCGCACAGTTCAACACTTGAAAGATGCATCCTTGTAAAGTACCAAAACTCTCTCCAGAAGTTAAAAGCTAAAAATGGTCAAACAAAGATCTGTTGCAACTGTTTTCAACTCTTGTTTTGAACTACATCTTGTGAATTCACTGCTTGCCTTTGGTTTATCTCTTTGGGCTGTATTATATCCATATTTCAATTGAATAACTTCATTTTCTTCAGCAATCCCAGGGATTTACATAAAACTGGAAACTTTTTTATGCAATTTGCCTGTTTGTTTACACAACAACAGTGGTAGGACACAGGATTACAATATAACCTGCTCATCTAATGTTTGCGCTCTTGATATTTAAATTATTTTGTTATTAATAACCTCATAAGGAACTCTGAATCTGCATCTCATTTTGGAGTTTGCTACTTTCCACCAGAGGTCACATATCCATTGCGGATGCATGCTTTGAGAGCATTCATGACTGAATGAAAAACTGAAACACAATATTCCAACACAATCTCACGGCAATTCGTAACTTTTTGATTTAGTGATTAATTTGTATGAATTCGTACAATCTAGTTCGTACAATTTAGTACGATTTGCTCATCCCCCAATGACTGTAGGGTTTAGGGGTGGGGTTAGGTGCCATGCTTCCTTTTTAAAATCGTATAATTTTGTACGAATTCATACGAATTAGCCACTAAACTGACAAAACGTAAAATACTTACGTTTTCTCGTGAGATCAGGCTGGATTTCCAACAAGGTAACCCGGGGTGTTGAAATATAATTAGCTAAAGTGGCAGTGGGTGGGTTTAAAGAACCTAAACAAAGTCAGCATTCTGGAACACATTTTCAAAACAGAATATCTGACTTCAGCATTGTTTTTCAGATAGACAAGAATGTTCACTTAGCATGTTTCTTAAATATCTACAAACATATTATGGTATTGTTATGCTTTAGTAGAGTCAAAAATGTATATACAGCGCCGTTAAAATGCTGCCACTGTTGTGTCCGTGTAAACACCTGAAAATCAGAGTCTTTGATAATGACATCATGCATGTGGATTGTAGGTGTTTAGCGAGGTGTAGATTACAGGCAAGTGCATACAATTATACAGCAATGGTGACATGCATGGTAGTCTTGTTGCTCAACTGTTTGCTAACACTTCATTAGCAAAGTGTGTGGATTTACTTCACATTACTTCACATTACAACCAGCAATGGAGATGCATCTTGTATATTATAGCAAATTCTACATACACATCAGCACCGAGCTGTTGACAGCACATCATCACTTCCCTACAGGTAATGTTTTCTGAAGTTTACCAAGTTAACAGTGCAATATACTGTCCTGGCATCAGCAATACTGTGTTTTTGGTCATTTTCACAGATGTTTGTAAATGCAGATTGTTTTAAAAATGTTGTTGTGTAAATGTGAAACTCTGTCAAAACGCAGGGGGAAAAACCTTTCCTTTTTATCTACAATGTTGTCATGTAAACGTATCCTCAGTCCACATCTTTGATGTACCTCAAGGTTCAGATAGCAGCATTCACACTTTTATCCAAAGGCAGAGAAATCACACCAGATTTAGTTTTATTTATTGATTCATTCATTCATTCATTTTTCTTCGGCTTAGTCCCTTGATTATCAGGGGTCACCACAGCGGAATGAACCGCCAACAATTCCGGCATATGTTTTACACAGCGGATGCCCTTTCAGCCACAACCCAGTACTTAGAAACAATCACATTCACACACACACAAACACACGGCCAATTTAGTTAATCTGTAATTTTGTTAATTCACCTATAGAGCATGTCTTTGAAAACCAGAGCACCCGGAGTAAACTCACGCAAACACAGGGAGAACATACAAACTCCACACAGGAATGCAAACTGGTCCAGCTGGAACTCGAACCAGCGACCTTCTTGCTGTGAGGTGACAGTGCTAACCACTGAGCCACTGTGTCGCCACAGATTTTGTTTCAATCAAACAAAACCAGTTAACACACCACACGACACACTTCAACCAAACAAATACCTCTCTTACAGCTATCTCTACACATTCAGCCAGAATAGGCAAATATTTGAACACTGACACTTCAAACAGCTACTTATAGCTGTTTCTGCATATGAAGCCGAAATAGGAGATAATAAATACTCTTAACATTGACACCTTCGACAACTACAGCATAAGATTACCTTTTAGTTCTGCTAACTAGAATTTCGAGCAGTTGTTGACAAGTGTACAGAAAGAAATCCCCAGAGAAGTATTGTAGTAATATCATCGCAGAAGCAGGAGACTTCAGTGCTCACCTTGAATGGAGACGACAGGGTGCTCTAATCTGGTACACTCGGGTCTGGTGTGGTGGGGCGCTGGGGACGGGGAGGTCTCTGTTGGGACAGGAGGATTCTGGGATAGAATCGTCGGAAATGGAAGAGTGATGAAACAGAGGATAAGGCCGGGCACAGCCAGGGAAGCCACGTCCCGGGGCAACACGGTCATGGTGGCGGAGGCCGACCTCTCCTCTAGCTGCCAAGGTGGGCCTCTGGAATGCACCTGTTAAAGAGGACAGACGGAGTGACATGGTAAATACTCTATATTACTGTTCTGCGGTTTCCAATTTACGAAGTACACATACACCTTTACGATCAGCAGAGTCGATACTGTACTTCTTTATGACTGTCAGTAAAGGTTTGTTGACTTTAAGGGGAAAAGCAGTGAGCTAGAGAAAAAAAAAAGTCATGCCATGAAAGAAAAATGAAAATCTATTAGCTGACCTGATTCATTCATTCATTCACTTTCTTTTCGGCTTAGTCCCTTTATTAATCTGGGGTCGCCACAGCGGAATGAACCGCCAACTTATGCAGCAAGTTTTTACGCAGCGGATGCCCTTCCAGCCGCAACCCATCTCTGGGAAACATCCACACACACATTCACACACACACACTCATACACTATGGACAATTTAGCCAACCCAATTCACCTGTACCGCATGTCTTTGGACTGTGGGGGAAACCGGAGTACGCGGAGGAAACCCACGCGAGCGCAGGGAGAACATGCAAACTCCACACAGAAACGCCAACTGAGCTGAGGTTCGAACCTGCGACCCAGCGACTTTCTTGCTGACCTGCCCAGCTTGCCCAGCTGACCTGATGTACTATTTAAATTAGTATGGAAATTATTTGCGATTTCCAACATATACATAGCATTTGTTGAATATACATTAATAATGCAGTTATTAATATAAACACACTACTGGATGAAAACAAAACGCTTGAACTGAACTGAGCTGGATGATGATGTTGCTTTTAACATACTCTGAATTGGAATGTCTCTTATTTGAAGTTTGCATGAAAATAAGATGTATTGCTTATGTTGTATATTATATTATATGGCACTATACACTATAAAGCACTATATACTGTAGCTTCAGCAGAAAATGCAGTAAAACACAAACACAAAGGTGACAAATTAATTAAAAGGATGGATGATATTTGGATGGATGGATGGATGGATGAATGGATGGATGATATATATTTGGATGGATGGATGGATGGATGGATGGATGGATGGATGGATGGATGGATGGATGGATGGATGGATGGATGGATGGATGGATGGATGGATGATATATATTTGGATGGATGGATGGATGGATGGATGGATGGATGGATGGATGGATGGATGGATTGATGGTTAGATGAATGGATAGATGGATGGATAACAATCAAACATTCAAAATAATGTTTGTATTTATTAAAAAGAGAATAAATATTAAACAGACTGTTGGAAGACTGTAGGGAATTGAACCCCACAGCAAACACAACAAAAAAGGTGGCAAATCTGAGCTTTCAACTTCTGAATTATAAAAATTACAGTAACAAAAATAAAAAAAATACCCAAAGCTGACATGCAGTGACAGTGAAGAGTGGTGCAGGAGAAATGGGTTAGTGGGTGGTGTTGTTAAAAGTTTCTGGCTGTATGTGGTGGCCCGGCTTGATCAGCATAAAACCCCTTAAGCACCCAGGCACTTCCGTCTCCTTCATATGCGGAGGAGTTTTAATATCAGCACTGATCTTATTAGAGGTAAGGCATGACATCTCCATCTCTATTCAGAGCAGCTCCAGTGCAATGATATAACAACATGCAGCAGTTCTCCATCACTGCAGTCAGTCTTCTCACATAATGCTCAAAAATGTGGCACTACTGTGAATGAAGCTCTGGTCTGAGGAGACCCAGCTTTAATTGAACACCCACAACTGCCCCAACTAAAATCATGTGTGCTTGAGAAAGCACACTGACCAAAAACTGACCAGAAGTGGAACAATGAATGTACAATATTTGAGTTTATTTCAATAATATAATATAATATAATATAATATAATATAATATAATATAATATAATATAATATAATATAATATAATATAAAATAAAATAATATAATATAATATAATATAATATAATATAATATAATATAATATAATATAATATAATATAATATAATATAATATAATATAATACAATACAATACAATACAATATAATATAAAATAATATAATATAATATAATATAATATAATATAATATAATATAATATAATATAATATAATATAATATAATATAATATAATAAATATTCATTCATTTTTTTTTTAGCTTAGTCCCTTTATTAATCAAGGGTCACCACAGCGGAATCAAATGCCAACTTACCCATCTTGTTTTACTTAGTGCATGCCCATCCAGCTGCAACCCATAACTGGGAAACACCCATACACACTCATTCACACACATACACTACGGACAATTTTTAGCTTACCCAATTCACCTGCACCACAGGTCTTAGGACTTTTTTTTTTTACTATAAAAAAATTGCCTCAATTTCTTTTTATTCTATTAAATTGCAATTTCTTTTTTTATTTTAAACTGCACTTACTAAAAAAGTAGTTGACCACAAACCAAGTCCTAAGTTATACATATATATTTTTACTGATTATATATATATTGAGGCATATTTTTGGCAATAGCCAATGTAGTTTTTGCAATAGCCAAACTTTTAATGTTTTCTTTTATGTCAAAAATCTCTATAATATTAACTAAAAATGATGTTCCATTGAGACATTTTTTATATGTTCTACCTCAACTATATCGAAACTTAATTTACAAATAAAAACATGCATTAATAAGCACTTCATGTAGACTTTAAAGGTAAATTTCTCATTATTTTGATGATTTTGAACACTCAGTTTCCAAATTTTCAAATAGTTGTTTATTCATCAATTGAAATTTAGATTTTCAGGTGATGTATATTTTAAATAAATTAACATTAAAATTAACACTTGTTGTTTTGTAATTCAGGGTCACAACTATGACATAAAACTGCTTAGTCTTCAAATTAAAATAAATAAATAAATAAATAAATAAATAAATAAATAAATAAATAAATAAATAAATAAATAAATAAATAAATAGTTAAAATATGACAAGCTTTGGAACAAAAAAATCCATTTGGCTAAACTACAACTTGAATTTATTGATAAGAAATATATAAACCTGCTTATTGTGTACCTGAAGGACTTTTGATTTATTACTTAATGCAGTTTATGCATCACATTAAGTGTAAGCTTGAACATTTTGCACACAATTCAAATACATAAACCTTGATTTTAGGGCTACATCTATACACTCATTCTCACACATACACGGCCAATTTAGTCCACTTAATTCACCTACACTGCATGTCTTTGAACTTGTAAAACTTTAAACAACTAAACGACCAAAAAAATGTTTTATGAAATCAATATCTTGCAGTTACATCATCTACTAGCAGGGGCTAACTGGATTAAACAGTAAAAACCTTGAGCTCTCCTAAAACTTTCTGGTAAAACCAGTTAGGAAGACGTGTTTTGTGGACACCATCACACCAGAATTTCATATTGTGGACAAATGCTGTTAAAAGTTACATTAACTCTATTGCACTGGTACCATGATATATGGAGCAATAGAGAAAGCCACAGAGAAGCACCACATTGCCATCTTTCACACACAGCCAAAGTTAATCTTGTGCCATGTAACATCATTCAGGTGTTTAAAAAAACCAAGAGCGAATCCATGCAATCTACGGAGATGCACCAGGGGCTAATTTACAGTTTCATCATTGGACAAGGCAATCAATAACAAATTATTAGCTTGGTTATGTTGCAAATTACCATGATGCCTTCTCAATTATCCCTCTCGCAACAGTGGGTAACTAATTAGGCAAATGAACAGGGAAACTGGCTAGCGATACAGTCAACCATCTGCACAAGATGGGGCAATCCACAACACTTATCAACTCTGGATAGAAAAAGATTACGAAGAAAAGGAAATTCTTCTGGACTTGTCAAGCTTGATGAGGATTTTTAAATGTTAGCCAAGCATGTGTGAGTGTGAAGGAAATGATCTAGAACGTAAATGCTAGAGAAAAACACACACACACACACACACACACACACACACACACACACACATTCTCTTGGGCGCTTGGGTCAAGACCGCTCATTAGAGGTTATGTAATGAAGTATGGCTGGGTGGGTGTATGCATGTGTAAAAAGAGCGTAGCCTATTTAGCATGCAGGAAAATGAATAACAGGCCAGAACCATTGAAGGGAAAAAATGAATACTTGACCTTATGTTAATATTTTAAATGGTTATGCACAGAAAAATATAATTGGGAAATATCAGAAATAATAATAATACAAATACCTTTTTGAAATAAAAGTTAGCACAGGAACAGATATATTCTAAATACCTCAAATTATTTAATGTAATATTGATAAATTATGATCGAATATACAAAATAAATATTTCAAACAAAGCAAAAAAATCTACACATTCAATTTAATTATTATCATGAATTTTTTTTACATATTTTTGAGGTTTTGTCAATTACAGATCTTTATGAGCATGGTACAATATAGCCTTCAAGAAAGGTAATTTAATGGAAAATTATAATTTAAAATACTATAAACACATGCCGATTATTTCTGGGGCTGATTTAAACGTTGAAATAAATGTGCATACTGTATGTGCTCCATTTTTACTAAAGATCTATTTTTCTGAATATTCAGGGGCCATTTGATTATTATCAGGATTATACCACCTGTATTTTGTTAAGCAAACAGTTTTTCGTGGCTTACACATTATGCTGGTGGTGTAACCAATATGCTTATTTGCTAATATTCAATTCAAATGGTTTTATCTGATATATGTTTCTTATAGAGATTTCTATGAAAACTATATACATTTACTGCTGGTTGATTTGAACATGTTAAAGTAAATGTAAATATATACTGTACCTACATTCACCCTCTTGGTTGTAGTTTTACAAAAAAGCAAGATACTGAGAAGAACATTTGCCAGTAAAGTCAACTATAGCTGCTGTTCTCACGCTAACTGTTAAACTTTTGGTAAAGCAACAATTGGTTGGAACAAAACAATAATATTATTATTATAATTAATATTATAATTATTAATATCATTAATATTATGACTATTTCAATGTCAAAATGCAATTTGAAC